CTTCCAAGTGTGAACATGAATTAAATACTGGAGTACGTGAGGTGAGTGTACGTAAACGTGAATAGTGAGTGATACCAAGCCATCTTCATTCTCTCGACCAATCATAAGAGTTAGATTTGTCAGCGCTACTCACAGTTTCATCTCTGCCGAGTCAACCCGTCTTCGGAGGATATCCCCATTTATAGATGTATTCTGCTGTTTTTATGATTGCAGATGTCCCTAAGAACTGGTGCACAACGGAAGATGTGGTCTGTGGCTATGACCCTCGCTTGGTGCCATTTGCGAACGCCGCATACCCTTATTTCTCGTCCTATCGCTTTTATCTTGCGTCAATATTATCACTAGGATGAGATTGGTTATACTTTTAGTCAGTAAGGGTTCTATTTATAGGCAGTTTCGCATGGTTCACATTGTCAACAAGCCAATAACTCATTTATTCGGACAGTACGGCGCGCAATAATATACAAGTTTTCCCAGAAACAAAGAATGTCATTCATCCAAGATGCTAGATGCATTTCAACTATGGCTCCCATCGTAATCCGGCATTTACGAGCTGCAGCCCCCTTGGAATAACCCATTGACAAACTGTAGGTTCGTATCCTATTCCACGAGTGGTAACGCATTGAGAGAGTGAGTATGTGATTTGCAGGAATAGATTCACTCACTGTTTGAGTCAAAGATGCTGGCGCATACACCGTTGTGAGACTGTCGGTGTCGTGCGCGGACTGATACTGGTACCCCATCCACTTGGAGAATAGGCTCTGCGCGTGGTAATATCGCTGGTATTCCCAGGTATCACCATAGAAAACGACACCGTTCCCAAATCGAGCGACCAATTGGGCATAAGCGTTTTGGATATCGCGAGTCAGCTCTTCCCATTCAAAGAGCGCCATTGGGTCGAGGGACTTCCAAAGGGCGATAATGGACTTTGAGATGTCTATGGTGGAGGGGTCGGGGGGGAAGGCGAACGGCGATGTTGGGGGAAAGAGTATGTCTGGGCTGGTTTTCATTGCTTCCCACTGGACGAGGTTAAAGACGAGCCAAGAATGGGAAGATTCAGGAGTGGTGGCGAATGCGTAGGCAAGC